ATTGTACCTTTCAGATTTTATTTAGTCTTTCAGGTTCTTACACTAGGGAGACAATACAATGTTTACACATGTGGGTAAACATTTACACAGGCTGGCACAACTGTGATGATTTTTTGATCCTAAACAATTGTTAGTTTATATTTCAAATATTTCAGTGGTCTCATTAGTAGAAAATTTGCTGATTATTTTCCTGCTTTATTTATTTTATAATGGAAAGTACCTTCCATTTTGTAATGTGTAGAACTGACCCAGTTTTATTTATATATATTTTTCCCAATTTTCAATGGCTGACAGTTATAATAAAGTTTCCCTTTAGTGAACAGAAAACTTTTTCTTGCATGTTGATAAGGTAATAAATAAATACTTGAATAAATATTGAATGTCCAGCTTCAGCCTTAGAAAACTATTCCCAGTTCAGCTCAAGGCCAGCCTGAATTGCAGAGCAAGACCCTGTCTCAAAAAGAAAAAAAAAAAAGAATACTATTCCCAGTTCAAAATACTAATACCAAGTGAAATAAATCAGATAGAGAAGGTTAAATGTGACATTATTTCTCTTATATGAGAAACCCAAAGTATAAATAATTTAAAGGGAAAAATAAAAGATAAATGATAGGAAACTGGAAGTGGACCTTTTACAGATGGGAAGGGGATTCAGGGATGGAGGAAAAGGCAAGTGAGGGAAGAAGAAAATGGAGTCAGATGTGATCTGTCTGTATTTGTACCAATTCCCCATGATGAATGTACTCAGTACGTATCACAAACACGTACTAATAAAAATGAAATAAGTAGGAGTAGGGAGGAGAAAATATTTCCCTTAGAGTCTTGGCTTTTAACAATCCATTCATAGGTATAATACTCTGTTTCTAGAGCAGGGCTACCTTGGCTCCCAAGGGCATGTTAAAAATTGGTGTTAAGGGGGCTGGGGATTTAGCTCAGCGGCAAAGCGCCTGCCTGGCAAGCGCAAGGTCGTGAGTTCGGTTCCCGGTACCGGAGAAAAACTAAAACCAAAACAAACAAAAAAAAGATTGGTGTTAAAATGGAGTATTACTCAGCTATAAAGAAAGATAAACTCGAGGCTTTTATAGGTGAATGGATGCAACTATAGATCATACTCATAAGTGAAATAAATCAGACCCACATATGCTCACCCTTAGGTGAGCAATGAGGTAGTTCTGCAGAGATAATTCTGAAGCAGAATTCTGAAGAGACACTGCTACGCATAGTTCTTTTTATTATTTTTTCTTTTTTCCTCACTGTGTTGGCATTTTTGTTCACTTATTTTCCCTTCTATAGTTATTCATTGTTTATTTACTTCTTTATCTGCAGTACTGGCCTCACACATGCTAGGCAAGTGCTCTACCACAGAACTACATGCCCAGTCCTTTTTTTAAAAAAAATTGTATTACTGCATACATAATGAGCACTCAGTATGTATTCATTTTTCCTTCTTTCTTTCCCTCCTTCTCAACAATGTGGTGTGAAAAGTAGTCAGACTTTCTAGATAGGCGGCTCTATACTTGAATCTTGAAAGTGGCACTTGAGGACTATGTGACCGTGAAGAGCACTCGGCCTCTCTGAGCCTCCATGTTTACGTGTGGGGTAAAACAGGGTCGCTGCGGGAATCGCTGTGATGGCACGATGCCTGCCTTATGAACGCTGCTTAGCTGGCAGCCCTGATATCTGTCCACTGTGTGACATTTTGCCTTTACATTATTTGCTTTTGTTTCGCTAATATCCAAGTAGCGATCTCTTCTAAGAAGCAAATTTCAGAAACAGCTAATAACTTCTGTCAATCTCTCGTTACAGTGGGTTGCTTGCTGAACAATATCACAAGCTTCTGTTCGACCTGATGCCCATCATATGGATAAAACCATGTAAATATATTTTTCACAAAATTTCCTTGAGGTTTAGGGAGAATAATGACACAGCTGTTGTTCACTGCTACCTGAAATAAATTTTTGTTGAAACCTTTTAGGATTTAACTTGATTGTAATTTTAAAATGATAGAATATCCGCAATGGAAATGCACAGTTCCCCTTTTGTGGGTGTAGCATTTGTATTATTGTAGGACTATCATACTGCTTCTTCGTGCCCTTAGCTCACAGGATGCATCATTTTCTTTACTCATCCATCCCACATACTTCTGCGAAGGCTTTCAGAGACCGAACGCTTGCCATCCAAGTTTGGTTCTGAACTCCCTTTGCATGCTGTTCAGAGACACAAATAAGCCTGACGCAGACCCCAGCTTGTGTCTAGGATTTTCTGCCTCTAAGAAACCCTTAGGCCAAGGAGTCAGCCCAGGCACATAGGTATGCTGCAAGCCACATGAGGTTGAAGCCACTTTTGCCCCCTTAGAGAAGTCACTTACACCTTCCTCCTTGTGCCATCACCGATATTTTTTATTCTTTTTGTTATTTTTTTTCATTGCTATGGATTGGACCCAGGGCCTCGTGCATTCTAAACAAGTACTGTGCCACTGAGCTACAGCCTCAACCCTAATTTTCTTATTCTTAAAAAACAATAAATAAAAACATTTGCAAATCGCCCAAGCATCACCACCCAAGCTAATAAATATCTCTTATTAATGTGGTTCAATTTTAAGCAATGTGGCCTTAGTTTAGAAAGACTTAAAAAAAAAAAAAAATACTCCTAATACTTTCTATCTGGCTTTTCAGAAATTGAACATAGATTATTTTTGTGAGTTGGCAAAGAGAATTTATTAGTGTATTTTTCTTACTAGTAACATGCTAAAAACAGTTTTAGCTTAATTAATGGATTTCTTCAATTAGTGCTCTAAGTGGTTGTGTTTCTCCTTTTGTTTCTTTGTTGTTGCTGTTGCTGTTTGAGACAGGATCTCACTCTACAGTCCAGGCTGGTCTTGAACTCACTATGAAGCCTAGGCTGGCCTCGAATTAGCGGCAATCCTCTTGTGGCAATCCTCCTGCCTCAGCCTCCTGAGTGCCGGGATTACAGGCATGCACCACAACACCCAGCTGTGTTTCTCCTTTTGAATCTTTCCCATTACGCATACTGTGTTTTATTCCTTCACTATCTTCTCTTATTCCTTGCCTTCTAAATCCTCTTGAGTCTTTTCATGCCTGCTAAGTGATCAGAACTTTAAAATTTATTCCAGACTTCTAGACCTAGAATCATTTACCACATGAATCACATAATAATAATATATCAATAATAATATATCAACTGTAAATACTAAAAAAAATTTTTTTTGGTACCGGGAATTGAACTTGGGACCTTGCGCTTGCCAGGCAGGCACTTGTACCACTGAGCTACATCCCCAGCCCCAAAAACCTTTAAGATCTTCAAATATCATAAAATTGAGCCAGACGTGGTAGCACATACCTGTAATCCCAGCACTCAGGAGGCTGAGGCAGCAGCACTGTTGCAAGTTCAAGGCCAGCCTGGGCTACAAAGTGAGCTCAAGGCCGGCCTGAACTGCATAGCGAGACCCTGTCTCAAAAAGACAAATAAATATATATATATATATATATATATACACACACACACACACACACACACATATATATATATATATATATATATATATATATATATATATATAAAATCTTAGATTTGGTACTGACCATTCTTTACAAGATAGCAATTGTGCTTTTAGTACCAGTTGCTATTTTCCTTCACAAACTGAGTGTATTTCTCTTCTTTACAAGCGCAAAAGTCCCAGATTGCGAAGTCAGATGCCTATGTCTGTCCACTGTACAAGACAAGTGAACGTAAAGGAACTCTTTCCACTACAGGACATTCTACTAACTTCGTCATTGCCATGTTGCTAAAAACCGACCAACCCACTCAGCACTGGATCAAGCGTGGTGTCGCTCTCCTCTGTCAGCTGGATGACTAAACTGGACAAACTAGGAAACATCTGAAAGTTTTAAAGATTGTTTCTACTTACTTAAAAAAAAAAATTATAAAGCCAGATAAATTGATGTTGTTCTTTTAAATGCTCTTTGTGAAGGGTCTTTGCCTTCACTGTTCTCCTCCCCAGTACACCGCGCCTGACGGGAGCGCAGCCTGCTAGCCAGACTTCAGAGTTCCCAGCCAGACACCACTGGAAGAAAGAATGAAAGGCATATGAAAAAAATAACTGAAGCTTTTATTTAGTTTTAGTTTGATATGTTTGTAAAAAAACATTGTGGGGATTAAATCAATAAAATTTAACTGATACTAGAAAATTATTTTTTACTAATGTTAAATCATTCCTTCAGTTTCGGTAGTATTTTACTTTCTACTCAGTTATTTGAAGTTACGGCACATGACCATTTTACATAAAGAAATTGTAAATGAGCAAAGTATTAAAACAATGATTAAAGCACTAACTCGCATAGTTCATACTTTTAAAATATTGCTCCCAGTTCTCATGGTACCCCTGTGATCAGGAGGAGACACTCAGTAGTGAAGCGGGTATACGGAGGCAGTGAGCTGGCGGCAGGCAGTCCTCACTGCAACACCTGCGGGAGCATTGTGCTTCTTGGTGTTTGCGTCATATTTAATTGGAAATGTCAAGCTGTCCCTTTCTTTTCTTTTTATTATTATTATTTTCTTTAGTAGTTGATATTTGTATCACTTAGTATGCACCCATTAACACGTTAACAATTTTATCATATCATTAACAGTTTAAAGATATTTCAGCAAAGTAAAATTTTAATCAAAATTGTATTGTCTGCGTAGAATTAATTGCTTCCTTGGAATTCCTTAGTTCCAAGGATGCTTAAGCCTGCAGTTCTGTAAACCAAAGACAAGGTAGGTACAAATACCCACTGAAGCTGGACCACTGGGACAGTCACTTTTGGTAACTAAAGTCAGAGAAAAAGGTTTAGTCTCTTAAAGAGAAAGTTAATTCTGGCTTACAGTGTCTGTGTGAATGAGTCTTAAGAGAAAATTCTCTTTGTATGGGAAACCCCCTGCAGATGCTTGCTATTCTAGAAATAAGATGTTTAATGTTTTAGATTTGAGGAATCTAACAATGAAGGAAAAGATCATGTTTCCAAACAGTCAACCGCATGTAAAAAACAAGGAGAATGTGCCAGACAGTCTTATGATCAAGTATTTATAGTAAAGCTATTTATAATAGTAACTGCAGAGGAGTGGATCCTAAATATAAATGAAAATTCAGAGGCTTACATGTGCTGATCCTTGACAGTGAAAACTGCAGTGCTGTCCTACAGGATATACCAAAAGGTAAAAAAAGCTTTGGTATATGATCAAACCTATTCTATACTAAAACTGCAATGTTCTTTTAAACCATGTAGATAATGCTTAATGAAATACTTCGGGTGTTTTCTTACTGCTATTCCTATTATATGCTGTATTAAGAGAATCTATTTATTCCTGTACCGTTTTTATTCTTTTCAGCGTAACACTGTGTATAGGAAAGATGCTATTCTGAGTGACTACTATAGTCACTGAGAAAAACTCACAAGCCAAGTCCAAAGCAGATTAATATGAACAGTTTCAGTGTTACAGTGGCATGGACCTAAGTTGTATATGAAAGGTTATCTTCTTGAATATGCTTCTAAGTAAATAGTTGCTCACCTGTCGCAGTGCAGAAAACTGTTTAAAGTTTATGGAAATATTTTTAAATGAATATTTTATTTTCTAAATGTTATACATTTTCTTTATCAGTCCTAGCAACTTTTTAGTTTTCTAAATTTCATTTATCATTTTAAGCAGTGGATAATCTTTCACAACCAGGAAATATTTTTAATTCATTCTGTCTTTAAAGTAAACCTGTACCAGCTTGCATGGATAGCTACACCAGTGATGATAACACAGATGATGATTTTGACACCCAGCTCATCATTCAACAGAGTTTACAGGACATCTACAAGCTGAGAACACATGTACCTGAGGATAACAGGTAGGTTGTGGCTTTCTCATTGACAGGGTACTATAAGTATTCAACAGTAAGACTAGTTATTAACATACCTCTAGGTGTTTTTATAAAACAAAAAAAGGGTCAGTCAGAATACAAGTTTTGTTTTGTTTTGTTTCCAGTGGTGGAAATTGAACCCAGTGCCTAACAGGGGGTGCGAACGTATGGCATATGTGCCATAGCAGGCTGTTTGTTACCATTAAAAGCTCTAGGCTGGGGATTTAGCTCAGCGGCAAAGCGCCTGCCTGGCAAGCGCAAGGTCGTGAGTTCGGTTCCCGGTACCGGAGAAAAACCAAAAAAAAAAAAAAAAAACCGGGCCTTGCAGGACACGTCGCGGGAGTCCTTCCCATTAAAAGCTCTAAAAGTTTCACCATCACTAGCCTAGTGCATGCTAGGCAAGTACTCCGCCACTGAGCTCCAGCCCCAGCCAAAAGTTGTTATTTAAATATGTACAAGATATGCTCTCTGACCAAACTGTAAAAACTTAGGAAGAATTCACAATTTAGTTAATCAGTAAAAAAATAGTCAAAGGAATTTAGCAGTAAATCTCGATAAGGAAATACAGACTAGAAATCATAAGGAAGAAATAAATGGAGCCTATGAAGGACTAGAGGGGAACTCTAACATATCTTGTCTTTATGGAGCTCAAGGAATCCATAAACCCAACCGTGACACATGGAAAGTTATCTTAGTGAGGTAGGTAAAGATGGGGTCCAGTTTTTTACCTACTCAGTCAAAAGGAGACAGTATGTAAACATAACCCCAAGAGACAACCCTCTCTGAAGGTATCCGTTCAATGCTGTTACCACTCTAGTTGAAAAGGATCCACAGGTCCCTCAGTGGTGTAAGAACCGCCCTGGGTGTGCACAGTTTGCAGTCAGGCATACCTGGTCAAATTCACTCGTAGTCCATCAGCAACCTCAAGTCCCTGAGGTAGTACCCACTGTTTTTCTGTTTTGCCTGTGGAGTTAAAACTGCATAAATGTATTTTAACCCCAACAAATTTTATCATTAAGCATGGAGATGATGAAGTACAGTATCAAATTTGTATTATTTTAAAAATTATAACGAACTCATAGAGGGATCACTGTCACTATGTCTCACACATTTTAAGTGCTTCATAAATATGAAGTCATTTAAATTCTAATTCTCAAAAAAAAAATTAAATAAATAAATAAATAAATTCTAATTCTCATTACCTCTCCCTACGAGGTAGGTAGTATTGCTATCCTCATTTAGAGATAAGGAAACCAAAGGACAGAAAAGTTAAGTGACATAGCCAAGGTCACAAAGCTAAAAATTGAACAACCCCAGGCACCATCAGCCATCTGATCTTTAACAGAGAGGCCAAAAACACACACTGAGAAAAGGTAGCCTCTTTAACAAACGGAGAAAAAGCTAGTTATCCATATGTAGAGTGAAGGGGCTGGGGATTTAGCTCAGCGGCAAAGCGCCTGCCTGGCAAGCGCAAGGTCGTGAGTTCGGTTCCCGGTACCAGAGAAAAACCAAAAAAAAAAAAAAAAAAAACATATGTAGAGTGAATCTAGACCCATATCTCTCACCAAGCATAAAATAAAATCAAAATGGATCAAAGGACTAGACACTCAAATAGAAACACTAAATCAGCTGGAAGATGAAACTGGTAAAACTCTTAAAAACACAAGCAAAGGACTTTCTAAGTAGAACTGCAATTGAACAAGAGATAATACCAAGACTCAACAAATGGGATTATGTCAAATTAAAAAGCTTCTGTACAGCAAAAGAAACAATCAACAGAGTGAAGAAACAACCTGCAGAGTAGTAAAGAATTTTTGCCAGTTACTCTTCAGAGGACTAATATCTAGAATATATAAAGAACTGAAAAAAAATTAGAGTGCCAGGTGTGGTGGTGCATTCCTGTAATACCAGCACTTGGGAGGCTGAGGCAGGAGATTGCTGAGTTCGAGGTCAACCTGGGCTACATAAGCGAATTCAAGGTGGGCCTGCACTATAGAGTAAGATGCTGCCTCCAAACAAAACAAAATTAGACCCCCCAAATTTAAAAAAAGCAACAAAAACAAACAATTGAAATGAATAGACATTTTCAAAAGGGAAGTACAAATGGCCAATGGGTACATGAAAAAGATGTTCAGCATCTTTGGCCGTTAGAGAAATATAAATTAAAATAACACTGAAATTCTATCTTACTCCAGAAAGAATGGCTATTTTCAAGAAATCAAATAATAACAAATGCTGGAAATATTGTGGGAAAAAGAAATCCTTCTACATTGTTGGTGGAAATGTAAAATAGGACAACCACTATGGAAATCAGTATGTATAGTACTCAAAAAAATAAAACTAGAAATTCCATTTGACCCAGCTATTCCCCTTGCAGGTGTCTTCCCAAAAGAGTTAAAGACATCATATTGCAGTGATACACGCACACCCATGTTTATAGTAGCACAATTCACAATAGTAGAATCTTAGCAGCACCCTCTTTCTCCACCAACAGATGAATGGATAAAGAAAATGTAGTATATACATATACTGGAGTACTACTAAGCCATAAAGAAGGATAAATTTGAGTCACTTGTAGAAAAATGGATGCACCTTGAGACCATAATGCTAAGTGAAATAAATCAGACACAGGCCAGATATTGTATGATTTCTCTTATGTGAGAAATCCACAGTATAAATAATTTAAAGAGCAAAGTAAAAGACAGATGATAGGAAGGTAGATCTTTTGGAGTTAGAGAAGGGATTTAGGGATGGAGAGAGGAGGAAAAGAAAAGGAGAAGATAGAGAAGCCAAAAGGATTAAGATTTGATGGGTGTCTGTACCAACTCCCAATCATAAATCCATTAATTATCTATCACAGCATGTACTCACAAAAATTTTTTAAAAATTTGAAAACCCAGAGCTAAATAGTGAAGAGCCATGCAGTCTGACTCCAGACTGTGCTTGTAATCACACATTACTCCTTTATGTTCAATTTCACTTAAGGAACTTTTTTTTGTTTGTTTGTTTTGTTTTTTGTTTTTTTTGTTTTTCTTTTTGTTTTTTTGTTTTGTTTTTCTCCGGTACCGGGAACCGAACTCACGACCTTGCGCTTGCCAGGCAGGCACTTTTGCCGCTGAGCTAAATCCCCAGCCCCTTAAGGAACTATTTTTAAACTAATCTTTAAATATTTAAAGTATTCAAATTGCACTATTAGATTATCTGTCATATTAATCTTTAAAAATTTTAAATGTACAAATCAGTCATTGAACTCAGTCTTAGGTTGAAAGGTGTGATTTTGACTAAGTTAAAAAGTATTGAAACCTGGGCATGGTGGTGCACACCTGTAATCCCAGCACTTAGGAGGCCAAAGCAGGAGGATAACTGAGAGTTTGAGGCCAGCCTGGGCTACATAGTGAGTTCAAGGCCAGCCTGAACTGCATAGTGAGACCCTGTCTCAAAAAAAAAAAGAAAAGCAAAGAAAAAAGAAAAGGAAAGAAAAAGTCTTGAGCAGGGCAAGGCATGGTGGCATATACCTCTAATCTCAACACTCTGGGAAGCTGACGCAAGAGGATTGCAGATTTAAACCCATTTTGCGCAATTCAGTGATTTAGCAAGACTGTGTCTCAAATTGTAAAACAATAAAAAGGTTGGGAATGTAGCTCATCACAAAGGCTGTGGGTTCAATCCACAGCAACACACATAGTATTGAAATGTTTCAGTGACACTGAAATTGACTCTAGCTATACATTTCATTTCATTTATTAGGCATGCAAGAATTGTATGATACTTAGGAAAGATTGCTGATTTGGTCAGAAATTTGCAGAGATTTAGCTGGGTGTGGTGGTGCACCCCTGTAATATTAGCACCTGGGAGGGTGAGGCAGGAGGATCACTGCAAGTTCAAGGCCAGCCTCAACTACAGAGCCAACTACCTTGCCTCAAAAAACAAACAAACAAATAAAAAACTGCAGGAATTTAGAAAACTATAATATACTTTGGTCATGTGAAATAATGGCCCCCTCCTAAGATGTCCATGTCAATTCCTGAAACCTGTGAATATGTATCCTTATATGGCAACTAGGGAATAAGGCTACCGGTGGAATAAAGCTGTTAACCAGCTAATTTTAAGATAATGATATTATCTTCGATTATCCAGATAGGCCCAATATAATCATAAAGTCCTTAAAACTGAAAGATGGAGGTAGAAGTGGAGAGAACCTGAGAGATGATAGGGAGAGGACTTAGCCCAACAATCCTGAGGAAAGCCAGAGAAAGCCTTTTTCAGTCCAAGAGACCTACTTCTGAACTGCAAAAGTATGAAATAATTTGTCTTAAGCCACTAATTATGTGGTAAATGTGTATAGTAGCTATAGAAACCCAATACAATGCTAAATATGTATTGAAAGCTTAAGACAAGCTGTGAGTAGAACAGATTGTGTGAATTTATTTTCTTCAACCTGGTTTACTGACTAATTAGAGCAAATGGAATGGTAACAATCCCTAGTACTAATTTTAAAATGAGTCATAGACTGAGCTTTAAAAGTAAGTATTTTGTTAAAAATATTATTTAAACTACTAGTAATATTTTCTGAATACAGTCTGACTGAATATTTTTTAAATGCACACCTGATTATTTACTATTTTTAAAATTTTTTGCTAGTCATTTTTATTATTGGAGTGGCATTAAATTGTGTTGTGATCATGTGATATTTCAGTCCTAGGCAGATTTGAATCAATTAAGCAACACGGATTGCCAACAAACTGCAACCCATGCTTTTGCATGGTCCTTGCCCCACACCACCCCACCTAACCCCTAGCCCTACCCGCTGGGAATCAAATCCAGGATGTTGCCTGTGCTAGGCAAGCACTCTGCCACCGGACTACACCCCCAACACCTTAATGTATTTCTATGAAATCTCAGTCATTGTATCATATGGGGAGTTCATCCCTGATTAACTATGACTGCTTTTACCTTTTTCTTTTGTTTTATATTAGATATCATAGTTTTTAAACCAATTTTGGAATTACATATATATTTTTTTCTATGCAGCTTCCATTCCTCTTTGAGTGCCGAATATAAGAAGATAGTTGAAACAATAGAGACAGTTAAGTACTCTTCCTACTTTCAACTTGTGGTAAAGTGTGATGGTGACAACTTCCTCTCTATGTTCAGAAAGGCTAGAAATTCTTCCAAATCCTGAGCATTATCCATAACTGATTGTCAAGCATCTGATGTGGCCTTTTCTGGGAGAAATAGTGGACTGCCGAAATTCACAGGGGTTATGTTCCTAGAGCACCCTCGAATTGTGAAAAAACTGAAAATTTCAGATATGGTCCGAAAAGTGCTTAGAAATACCAATTTCTATAGCTTAAACCCTAAATATGTCTCCCGCAGTTATGTAATTTAATTAAATGAAATACTGTATGAATAAAGCCTTAGAAGGTGCAGGGCCTTTTGGCGGCATCTTAAGGCCTTAAGAACAAAACCAAGAACACTCGAGATAGTTACATGCAGTACAACAACCTGTTAGGATGTGGGAATGCTGGCGCATCTGCCAGAGATGGGTTACAGGGCAGCAGCCAATCAGTGGCAAGGAGAACTGAATCATGCTCTCGGATTGGCTACTTCCAAACTTCCCACCAAAAAAACAACTGAGGAGGACATTCGCAATTTCCACAAAATTGCCGGTGTTTCTGCAAACAATTATTAGGTTCTAAGGAAAAATCTGCAAACTACTGAGGCCACAAACTTTGAACCACAACTTTGCAGGGCTATGCTGTATTTCAGGACAATTTATCCCTGAAACACACCGTTTCTGGCTTCCGGTATGGACAGAACTGTTTTTCTGTATGTGACAGGACAATGGGGGTGTTCACGGGTACAGGCGGTATGATATGCTGCTGGATGCAGGCCTTCCCGTCCCTCCTGTACCATTTAAATTTGTCCCTCATGAAAGATGGTGCTCTAATTCTGTTGTCTCATGCAGTAACTCTGGTGGTAGAATTCAGAAGCAGTGTGCCCGCCAAATGTGAATCTGCTCTCGTTTTTCTTGTTAATAGGTGAGGAGGATGCACTGTCACACTTAACCGAGTACCATTCCGCTTTTGATGAAGCAGACGAGATAGGCTGGACTCCTCTGCATAAGGCTGCGGTACAATTAAATAAGAACATCTTAGAAATAACCATGAAAGGTAACCTTTTCATCTTCTTGCTGCTTCCAGAAGCAAATTTTTAAATTTCTGTATTTTAATGTGCCATATGCATTTATTTCAGCTTCAAAACCCAGTATGTGGGAGCAAACTACCCACAATGGTGAAACACCACTTTTTTTGGCTGTCAGCAGTTGCCTCTTAGAAAATGTCAGTTTCCTTCTTCTCAATGGCTGCAATCCGAATGCTAAGAATTACGAAGGCAGTTCTCCTCTTCTCACAGGTAAATGAACGCCTTGTCTCTGGAGAAGAGTCTGTGTCCCTGAGTCTCCTCCATGCCCACAGGTGTCAAAGGCAGTGTTTTTTATGCAGGTGCAGCACTGTTACTCTGGTCCTACGGGAGCAGACATGGGAATCTCACCCTCAAGAGGCTTTGTACAGATTGGCCTGGGGCGAGGGGCCTCATGCACTCACCCAAATCAAAGCAACTCATTTTGCTTTGTGCCTTAATAGGGGGTAAGGCATCCAAGAGGGGAGCAGAGTTAGGGAGCATTCGTGAAGAGCAGGCAGCTGACGTGGAAGGATCAGTTGAAAAGCACTTCAGAAGCAGGATGTCAGTTCCCTAGGTCAGAGGGACAGACTCCTCCTCAGTCCCAGTAGCATGCTGGGGGTTTATTCTCCGCAGAGTTTAACAGAGACCTCTGAACCGGGGTGGGTGTGCGAGATCGAAATCACTGGAGGAATTAAGCAACGATAGACTGAAAGCACCCGACCCTCTTCCAACAGAGCGGAGTCCTCCCACCAGGATCCCAGAAAGCGTGCAGCCAGGCCTTTACTCTCTAGAAAGATGCTTCTCGGGAGAATATAACCAGCCCAAGAAGACCAAGAAGAAGGATCTAAAGATAATGGCATTTGGGGGCCTCCCAAAAAATGGCCCCCAAATACAACCTATTCTCAAGCCCGCAGTCCCACCTATTGTTTAGGACTTCCAACCAGCTCTGTAGTGCCAGCCAGCTCTTTCTCCAGACAGCTAAGGATCACTAGAGGAAAGTCTTTGACAGAGATAAGCAAGTTAGAAAAAACATATTCTTTTAAGGGGAAATAAAACATAAAGGGAAACTATCATTAATTGCTCAGAGAAATTATTCCCTTTACATGGGGACACTAAGGCAGGCGGATGACAGATTCAAGCCCAGCCTGAGTAACTTGATGGTTTAGCAAGACCCCTCTTTCCAAGTTAAGAAAGAAATTAATGAGGAACAAGATACTACAAAACATACCAAAGAGCAAAACGAAACAAAAGTGCTCTTGGAAATTAAAAAAATGAAAGAAAAAACTCAACACCAGACTGAGTACTAATTTTGGAAAGCTTCCAGAAGCAACAGAGAACAAAAGAGAAATAAGAAAATTAGGACAATCCAAGAGAAGCAACATGTGAATTACAGGTATGACAGAATAGATAAGATGGGAACAATATATTACCAATGAAATAAGTCAAAATAATAATTTCTAAATTGAGGGACATGTGTTTCCAGAATAAAAGGGCACATAAAAGGGCAAGCTTGGCTGAGCATGGTCGCCCACGCCTATAATCCCAGCATTTGGGAGGCAGAGGCAGGAGAATTACTGTGAATTCGAGAGCAGCCTGGGCTAATAGTGAACTCAAGGCCAGCCTGAACTGCACAGTGAGCCCCTGTCTCAAAACGGGGGCAGGAGGAGTTTAACAAAAAGGCCTAACACCCAGGGGCTGGGGATTTAGCTCAGCGGCACAGCGCCTGCCTGGCAAGCGCAATGTCGTGAGTTGGATTCCCGGTACCGGAAAAAAAAAAAAACCCCAACACCAACACTTTGTTTGCAATCTTAGAGCAATTAAAGCACTTTCACGGCACATTATAAACGGTTATTAGCTGAATTCATACTGATGCAGCACAAGACATCTAACCAGGTTCCACACACATTTGTTGTCAATGACTAGTAGTGAAATTGATAAATTCAGATAGTTTTGTAGCAGAATGCCCCCCCCCCCAGTATATTTCAGTTTCCCAGGGAATAGTTCCGGTTACAGATCCTATTACTACTGTCTCCTAGCAATGGCTGGTCACTGTGATGCATACTGTAAGAACCAATTGAAGACACCCAACCCCATAAAAACCTCTGTGCGTCCCCTTTGCAACCAACCCCGTAAAAACCTCCGTCCCTGGGCCTTTGAGGCCTGACATTTTGAAGGATAACTGATTCCTTGTCAGTGCCCTTCGATGTTAAGTAGATCTGCCTCCAAATCCTGGATGTTGTTTCGGTGTTTCTGCTTGCCATTGCAGTTTAGCTTCTTGATGGACTAAAAATTGTCATGCAAATGTGAAATAATAGTATAGGTGCAGAAAAAAGTTATTAGAGAATTTTGGTTTATAAAATGTACTTAAAATATTTTCCAAAAGAAATTTAGACATAGAATAAATAATGCAGGGAGAGACAAAAACGCTAACAAAGATCATCTCAGAGAGGTGGGATTATGTCATTTTTTTCTTTTCTGCATTATAGTCTAAATTCACTGTACATGAATTTCTTTTTAACATGAACTTTTTATTGTAGTAAGAAAGCTCTTTTAGCCAGATGTGGTAGCATATATGTCATCCCAGAACACAGGAATGCTAAAGCAGGAGATAACAGATTCAAGCTCAGCCTGAGCAATTTAACAGTTTAGGAAGACCCTCTTTCAAAGTTAAAAATAAGGGCTGAGGGGGCTGGGGATTTAGCTCAGTGGCAAAAGCACCTGCCTGGCAAGCGCAAGCTCGTGAGTTCGGTTCCCGGTACCGGAGGAAAAACAAACAAACAAACAAAAAAAATAATAAGGGCTGAGAATATAGGTCAGGAGTAGAGTGCCTCTGAGCTCAACCCCTAGTACAAAAATGAAAAAAAATTAAAAAAAAAAAGCTGTTTTTAAAAAGACCTACATAGTCCCCAGAGATAAGGAAAAGCTTCCACAAGTTTCCTGAGAGAAAAAGAGAATGTATCATATATATAACATGATAAATAAAAACGGCTTCAGCGTTCTCAATAGTAATCATATACTTGATGAAACTGGTAAATTAGTTTCACAGATTGTAAAAGAAAATTATTTCAAATTTAAAATTCTACATTTAGCAAAACTAGTCAATGTGAAGGTAGATTAAGGCATAAAAATCCATCTTTTGAAACACATATCTCAAAGAGTTTTAATTTTCACACACACTTCTTAGCTTCTTAGGAAGCTAACAGAACAAATGTTCTGCCAACATGGGAGAAAACTAGAAATACCAAAGCTTCTGAGAAACAGAAGACCCAACCCAGGTGGTAAGCAAATGAGAGCCCCAAGATGTTAGGGACCGGAAATCTTAGGGTGACAACATGTTCACTAGATTGGATTGGATTGGACTGACCAGGAGGCCCCAGACAGAGGCTTTCTCAAGACATGATGGGATGATACGATGTTTTGAAAGGAGATTTAGACAGTTTAGAGGGTTTGAGATTGAATTAATGATAACCAAACTGAAACGAAGCAAATGAAATGTAAAACAAGTATTACCTCCAGGGAAAACGAAGGATGTGCAGGAGAGAAAACATTATTATGGTCCAGCTTTGAACAGTAAACATAATCAAAATAAGGTAAACACTGAATGCTTATCTAACAAAAAATTAGGCTATGAAAATGCTGGAAGGACGTTGGTCCCCATGAGAAATGTGCACGTCACGGGCACAGGAAGAAGAAAAAAGTCAAATCTTCACTTTGCATAATGAAGAGCCAACTTTACACCAAAACCAAAAAATAAAAAAGTAGCAATACGAGCAGAATATACAGAAATATAAACATTAAGAATAAAGAAGCAGCTAACAGATGCCTCTGGGGAAGAAAAAGAAGAACGGAAAAGGATGAACTCTGCAGGAATTGGCCCTTTAAACTCTGCGTGCATGTGACTTTTATCGGAACAGAAATGGAAAAGAGAAAAGCAGTAGAGCACTGCTTAAAACTGAGGTTTGGGGTCTCATCTTGGTTTGTCTCATGGTGCTACAAGGCTTACATTTGTAGAAAACACATTGAGCTGCAGAGCTTTCCCTGAGAAAGCAGATCACAAGCTGTACAGCACTAGAAAGGAAAACGAGGTCTCTTCATCAGACTTCATATCAGCGTGCTAAGTAAACCTTGAGGAGTGAGAGCATGTAGTCTTCTCAGGCTTTTTACAGTCTGGGTTTTTTGTGTGTGTCAGAGTTGTTTGTTTTTGACTAGAGAGTCACTTTCTTTATAAACTTTAAGAGACCTTTCTGCACATTTTAGGAAATACAGGCAAAAGCTATCATTTTCTGTGGGCTCAGCTACTCACCCGAACAGGCATGCTTTTTAATTGTCTTTTAGTCATTCATTTACTGAGCCCAGTTCTGTTGCTGTTTTGGTTTTTCTTCTTTTGAAGCAGTTACAAGCATTTCCAGAATTGTACTGAATATTTAAAGTTCCATTTAAAAAAAAGGAAAACAACGGATGATGAAGTGAAAATCTTATCGTTTCAACCCTGTAAGCAACCAATAATTGGTCATATCTTACAGAAAGCTGCTGATATAATGCATTATTATTTGATATGTGCTTTAATGTGTTTCCTAAACATGAATTCTGAGGCCTGCAATGGGGAGAGCTCCTCAAGAAGCCTGAGAGAGACTGCCTGACATGACATGCCGGCTTTTGAACGTAATGCCCACCTTACTTCTAATTTCCCAGCTGTGCTGCGTGACTCCTATGACATGGCCAGCTTGCTGATCAGCCATGGAGCCAACGTCAACCTGCGATGTGCCAATGAGAGGACAGCTCTCCATGAAGCAGCGAAACTGGGCAGACAGGACATGGTGAAGCTTCTGCTGGCTTCTGGGGCACACCCTGACCCTCGGAGCGCCTATGGATTCACTCCTCTTGCTCTTGCTGCCCAATATGGACACACCAGAATCATGGAACTATTACTACAGAAAGGCAAGATTTTCCATATGGTCAGCATACTACCAGGTGAAATGTAATCCAAGTATTCTCCTCCTGATGGAGAGCTTTAAAACAATATAAGTTAATGTTTTATTTAAGACCAAAATAAATGTTTATAAAATTGTGTGTTCATACTGGCTACTGAAAAGCCTAAAATACAGATTGAATTAATTTGGTATAAAATTAACTTCCCACATGTTAATAGGCTGTAAGTGGCTTTTTACTTTACTGATTCTTCACCATGCTGAGAATTTTTTTTAAACTTCTGTGGTGGTGTCATTTCCTAGAATCAAAACCTAAGTTCCTGCAGCACATTGGCTCTTCCTCTGCCTAATCACAGGCAGTTTAATCTCTCATCAAGTGGCTTTAGATGTTAGGACATTCTTCCTGACCTCTTCTCCTTAGGTCCCAGTGCCCTGCATTAGTAACAGCTGAACATAAAAGACAAGTTATATTTACCAAGTACTTACACACATCAGGCATGAGCTGCGTATGTTGCACCACGTAATCCTTTAAAAATCCCAAGAGGTAGTATTAACCTTATTTTGCACTTGAGAGGGCAGAGATGGTACCAGTTTCAGGACTTGCTGTCAGACGCACAACCTCCCCTGCTGCCTGTGCTGTAGCTGTGGCCATTTTAGATCATGGTTACACTGGAAGGGATCCTTAGTCCAGAAAACTTGGTCATTTATTTTGAGAAGGACTCCACTGATAGCAGTGTCACATGAAGTAATGTGGTATCCATAGCTTTTTTCAAAGAAGCAAACTTTTACCAAGATTTAATAGAAGTCCCAATATTGGAATCTTCTCTGTTCTCCTATGTCTAGAAGCTTCTTTCTTTACCAATACAGGATCCTCTTCTCCAGAATTCTAGATGGGAGGATTCTCTTTTCATCTAAGAACCACCTGACCCCTTGTAAACATCTAAATCTCTCCTACCATATAGAGGATGTTAGTTTCCAACTAACGTCCTAAGCCATTTTAGTAAGATATGTCATATAAATTGCATAAGAAATGTCTTAAGTTATAGGTGAACTAGTAACACACTGGCCCCTTCATCTTCGAGGAAAGTCTTTCTTGTGAGTGGGGCTGGACCCAGTTCTTTGTACTGAGCTATATCCCAGCCCATTTTTAATTTTTCTTTTGAGATATGGAGTCATCACTAAGCCTGTCAGATTGAGCTTGAATTTGTAGTCCTCCTTCAGGCTCCAAACTGCTGGGATTACAAGCATGTGTCACCCTGCCTAACTTACATTTGGTGTCTTATTATCTACACTATTCACGTGATACTTAATGAACATGTGCTATAATTTACCTTTTCAGCTGTCAGTAGCTACTAACTTTAAAAAAACAATTACATAGTGTTCTACTATGAATAATCCCTTAAGAGCATGTTAAAACACAAATGCCTTTTTTCACCAAAACAGCATCAGTAGATGGCGTGGTACGGTAATTGTTTGTTAGTACCATATTACGTGGTACGGTAATTGTTTGTTAGTACCGTATTACATATATGGACAGCGAATCAAATGGGCTTTTGGAGGCTGGTCTAGAAATAAAGCCATCTTTTATAAAAAAAAAAAAAAAAAAGCATTAGTATTGGTATTTTCAAGTTCCAAACAAGTAATTCATAGGAAACTGCTGGTGTTTCTTTCCTCCCTAACTAGTTTGTAAGTCTGAGAGCAGGAGGTATTCTACTTTTGATGCTTAGCACTTTGCTAGAGTAGCTGCCCAGTAATTGCTTTTTGGTAGTGATGATAGATTTTTTTTAAGATTGCTCAAGCAAAACCGTGGAAGATAACTTCTGCATAATGAGACTCTCTCTCCGCAGGTGCTAACGCTCACAGTCAGGCCTCCGATTCCTCGTCCATCTTACTTGAAGCTGCTAGAGGAGGAAATCCAGACTCTGTGACTCTCCTGCTTGAGTATGGAGCTGACGCCAATATCCCTAAGATTTCAGGCCACCTGCCCATTCATGTGGCAGCTGACAGAGGTCACCTATTGTAAGTGCAATTATATATTGTAAACAGAAATACCGATAGCTTTGGGGCAGAAACTTTATACTCTCTTTCTCTGACCCCACAACCTACCTCCTTTGTGAAGAAGCTGGTGATCAGCCAGGAAGCAGTAAGGTCAGGCATCCTCTGCAGCCACTGAAGTCAAAACTTTGTTATCACATCCTTAGGCCATATGGGAAGCACTGGGTCTCAAACGACTGAGATAATTCTGAGTTTTTAACCTAGACAGTAGGTCCATTCCATTTTACTTGGAATCTGAGCTTGTGAGTGAAGGGTGAGTGAAGGAAATAGTTTCTGTTGGGGTTGGTTTCAAATACTCACACCAGTATCACCCATGTTAACATAAAAGGGTCATAAACAAGCTCACTCTGCACCTTAACAAAAACCTTTGAAATTCTTTCGTAGAGCTCTAAAGATGTTAGTTCCAGTTACAGATCACGCTGCCATTAAGCGGAGTGGAATCAGTCCAGTTCACTGTGCAGCAGCAGCAGCACACCCTCAGTGCCTGGAGCTTCTCATCCAGGCTGGATTTGATGTGAACTTCATGCTAGACCAGAGAATTCGTAAACACTACGATGACCAAAGGAAATCAGCTTTGTATTTTGCTGTATCAAATGGTGACCTCTCTTCAGTTAAACTGCTTCTGAACGCTGGAGCTCTACCTAACCAAGACCCTGTTAACTGCCTGCAGATAGCTCTGAGGATGGGCAATTATGAGCTGATAAGTCTTCTGCTGAGGCACGGGGCCAACGTCAATTACTTCTGCAGAGTAAACCCTTTGCATTTCCCATCAGCCCTGCAATACACGTTGAAAGATGAAGTCATGCTCAGGATGCTGCTGAATTATGGGTATGACACAGAGCTATGTTTTGATTGTCCTCATGGGGACAAAGTTCAACTTTCCTATGCTTTTGAAGGCTGGACCTCTACAGTTATTAAAGATACTATGGTAAGCCCATAGTATTGGCTGTATTACCTTAACAGATGATGATTATAGCTATATTCCTAGGTTCTCAATACCCATATCCCTAGGTTTTATTTTTAATCGTTTAGTCTTTTTTTTGGGGGGGGGCGGTAACCAGGAATCGAACTCATGACCTCACGCTTACCAGGCAAGTAATGTGCCACTGAGCTACATCCCCGGCCCAGCGCTTTTAACATTTGAGTAAATGATCTTTGTTCACCTTTCTAATGAAAAAAGA